ATTTTCCATGTTGCAGGAAATACCGATTTTTCCATATAAATGTTTGATATGCATTTTGTACATCACAAATAAGAAATACAAAGCAGTTTTAAAAACTTAAAACTTACATATAATATTACATATAATATCAGTTCAGAAAAGTATGAAATTGAGATTTTGAGATTTCAGGCTCAAAATTATACGCTTTTCCCGATTTACTAAGTAAAAATTCATATCTAATCTGCATTCTCTATAATTTTTTATCATTTTTTACTGTATCAACAACGCAAAGTAAACTATGATGACCATGAAGAATACAAGATAATAAATTTTATCAAAGCTGCATCTTCTAAGACTTATCCAGCAAAAAAAAAGAAACACAAATATCATCCATTATTTGAATAACATTTTTCCTCAAAATCGAAAACGGTTTTGGACGGATCTCAACCCAACCAGTTTGTTATTGATGGGTAAACAACCTCTACTTCAAGTGTTGGCGCCCATATAGGGTTTCTATAACAAAGAAAAGGGTTGGGTAAGATGGGGTAAACATCAATTGAATGATTTGCACAGTGCTCATGGAGGGGTTCTTAAATTAATAGAAAACGATAAGTTGGGTTTGTTTTTAGTGGGAATACAACATCTACATCAAACGTACGGTATCTATAAAGGGCATATTATCCTTATCAAGATTAAGAGTTAGGTTATAGCGATTAATGAATCCATAAAAGGAATCCCTTTTGTTATTCTTTAAATATTGCGAAAGAATTCGATGAACCACAAGTAATATATTTGCGAATATTTCGGATCGCTGAAATTGTAACTAAATTACACGTTAAAACCAGATATGCACAATTCATTCATTTATAACACTACTCTTACTATTCTTTACTTATTTTATTTTTAAAATTTTAACAATATTTATATCTCAATTAAAATTTTGACTTTTCATATAATAATTGTTACGTTTATTTAGTGGTATCACTTTTCTCCAACTCATCATAGATATCTTTATATGTCTTTTCTCATGTGAAACAAATTCTGAGCAGGACATAGATGCATACAATGTTTTCGTGGATTGACAAATGACTCCATCAATACTCTACAAAATACTACAAAGCTTCCGCATTCTTTAAAAATATAGCTGGCTAATAGGGCTACAATGGATTCAATAATGGTGACAGTTCAAATACAAAATGACCTAACCCAGGTATTTGATATAAATAGTGTGTTAAAACAATGGACTGGCTGGCTCCGACATTGTTTTACTTGGCTCTTGAATACGTCATACGCCAAATGGACATCGGGAGAACAAACTCAGTAATAAAGAAATTCATTTGTAAGGAACAGCTTATGCCGACGATATTAACATGTCATGCAGGACAGACGACGCGGCAGATGCGTACACACAACTTACAAAAGAAGCCAAGAACATCGGTCTTGAAATAAATAAACAAAAAACCTTGACCTGGGAGTCAAACTCAATACTGAAGAATTGGACGAATAAGAAATACAAAATAGAATGACGATCACGAACAGAACCTACTTTGCCCTATCAAACGTATTTCCCTCTAAAACTATACATAGATACTCAAAAATGAGAGTCTATAAAACCATTATTAGATTTATACTAAGCTATAGATGCAAGACGTGGATTATGACATAGAATGCAAAGAATAATCTGGAAGTAATGAGAATAGTCTGAGAATAAAGGAGAATGGGTTTTCAAAAACGCTCCTAAGCAGCAGAATGCAAGAAAAGAAACCAAGAGAGAGACCATGAAAACGATTCGTCAGGGTCAAAAACTGGAAGACAGTAGAACTTGATCGGCAGTGTTAGAGGCAAAGATAAATGAGGCCAAAGCCCAATTTGGACTGATGCGCCATTGAGGAGAGAGAGAGATTAATTGTTTTAATAAGCAATTTAATTTAACAGAGCCTACTTTGCCCTTCAAATGTATTCTGCTCCAAAACTATACATAGACACTCAAAAATGAAAGTCTATAAAACCATTATTAGACTTAAACTCCGCTATCAATGTAAGACGTGGATTATGACATAGAACGCAAAGAATAAGCTGGAAGTATTTAAAGAAAAAGTACTGAGAAACTCTTTGGTCCAATAAAAGAGAATGAAATATAGGAAGAAATAAGGCGATACAACGTACAACTTAACCATCTGTTCAAGGAAGCGCCTATGTCAGAATTTGACAAAAACTACAATGGATTGGGTTGTGTTTTCAAAAACGCTATTAAGCAGCAGAATGCCAGAAAAGAGACCAAGAGGGAGACCATGAAAACGATGGCAGGACAAAGTGATGAAGGACACACAACCATTCATGAGCTTAAAAGGAAAAGGAAAAGATAAAGGAGGCCACGAACTAATTTGGGCTGTTTCGCCATTAACAAGAAAGAGAGGTTAATTGTTTTAATCAGCATTTAATTGAAATTTTAATACAGGGTGTCTCATAAAAAACGGCCCAACCTGTAACTCTGTTATTTACATTCCGATTTTCATGACTCAGGTATCAAATGAAATTGTTTTATAAATACTATGATTCATGCTACAAATAATTTTTTTTCTAAGTCCATCTTCAACTTTAAACGATTATTAACTTTTGTTTTTCAAATTGCTCGGTATGTTTTTCTTTACGCTATTGGATAGAGATGTTTTTCTGAATCCATTAATGTACAATACATTAACATTAATTGTAATTTTAGCAAAGAAAAACAATTAAAACATTTTCCGAACATTCCCTGTATATTAAAGATATTAATTGTGAAATTCCCCTAACTCGAACTTCTATATCTCGAATTATCCTCTAAGGCCCACTTTTACCATCCTCCTAATAAACTATCTAGAGGATAGTTACCATGGTTACGGCGGTTTTAAGCGCTCTCATTGGCTAAGGTCCATTACTACCATCTTTTAGTTAAATTTATCTTATAGATAAACTCATCTACTAGCCAATCAGAGCGCGTAAAATAGCCGTAACCACGGTAATAATCCCTTAGATAGCATAACCAGAAGATGGTAGTAACGAGCCTAAGAGCTGCATTTATCTATCAGATAGATTTATCAAGAGGTGGTAAAAGTGGGCCTAAGGCTCGTTACTACCATCTTCTGGTTAAGCTATCTATGGGATTATTACTATGGATACGGCTATTTCACGTGCTCTGATTGGCTAGTATAGTTCATTTTTTTCCTATAATACCTGTGAAATCGTTGTAAAGTTGGCAAAATTAACAGGGAGTTTTGTTTTATCATATTTTGAAATAGATATGTGACACTGACGTTTGACTCTGGTTTGAGTTTTCGTTATTCAAAAAGAAAAGGTGCATAAGAAATGTTGTGGGGTGTTTATTTGCCATTTATTTACCTAGAAAAGGTGTTTTGTTCTATTTAATTACTTTGTAGCACGTTTTTACAATAAATATGTACTTCGTTAAAATAGTATTAATCTAAAAATGTATTAGTATTTTAACCTCAACTATTTAGTTACTGAAAATGTTACTAAAAATCAAGAAAACAACATAAATTTTATAAGGGTCCTAGATAATACCAACAGAAACCCTACAAAATTTACATTGACAAGTATTATAGAAAAAAAAACGACCTATAGTTTATCTAGAAGATAAATTTAACTAAAAGATGGTAGTAATGGACCTTAGTCGAATAATTTTCGTAAGCTCAAACGTTTGACTAGGTTTCATATGTGTTTTTATCTCTCTAAGTCGAATTTCACTAACTCGAATTTTTCTGTAACTCGAACTGAACTACTATGGAATTTCTTCAACTTTTACTTCTATAAGTAGAATTTACTAAAAAGAATAAAATATTCGAATCCGTTCTGTAAGTAATTTTAACTACAGAATCAAACCATATAGACTCAGGCTCAGAAACTACAAACTCTTGAACCAAAACAAACCTAATGTTCTTATTGTTTCAGAATCAGATGAGTGTGATGATAATCTTGAAAATGAAATACTTATTGCTGTGCCTACTTTTGATGAAGCTTATTCCTATATTAGAAAGCTTGAAACCTTTGTATTATCAAGAGAGAATGTTCTAGACAATATTCATAATTCTTTACATTTAGTAGAAGATTTTTTCGACAAAGAGCGGTTGTCCACTTTAAGCCAAAAGAAAATTACGGATTACTTTTGATTAATTTTCTACTTACAATAGTATTAAGGTTTCTGTTTTAAATGTACGTATTAGAAAAATACATTTCTAATGTTTTTCGAAATGTACTTGAAACTATTTTTGTTTTTGGTCTTTGGATTTGGCCAAAGCGTTGATAATATCTAAGATTTTTGTGTAATATCTCAAATTTACATAGATACAAACACAATGACAAAGTAGTCATAGTGGATTTAGAGGTACTCGAAACGTATAAAATCATCAAAATATCGAGATCGCATTGTTGCATAAGTACAATGGTTTCTCTTTGCACAATTCGTATATATAAGTGAAAATCAGCTTGATATTTTATAAAAGTTTAAAACTACATCTTTTTCTTACACATACTGACATTTAACTTCCTCTCTAAGGAGAATAATTGTTGTGCACCTAAATTTTCTCAATATGGCCTTACATTGCTACATATGATAGATTGCACTGTTTGCCTAATTTTATCATTAGAAAACGTATGATTAAAATTATCCCAACAAGGTTATGTATATTAATTATAATTAAAATAAAATTAATGATTGATACGATTTTTTAAATTCAAAATATTTTCTCAATTTGTTTAAACCAATCGAATTGTAATAGTAAATAGTACAACTTTTAAACAAAGAGTTTACTTAACTGACCTTGGGACTCCCGTGAATGTCAAAAACAGGTGCCTCGGAACACCATCAAACCGTGACACACGCGTCCTTTTAACAGAGCATAACGAAAGACGTGGAGGTCTCAAATTGTTTTGAACAAAAAAAGATTAATCAAAAAAAAATAAACATAAATGATATTCAAATCGGAACAAAGAAATAAGAACAAAAGAAAATATTAAATCGTTACCTTATCGCATTGTTCCTCCAAGAAAACTATTCTTTCGAGTTGAACGAAAACTTCATCTTCTTTTTCCCGCACCAAACTCTCGCTGGATTCCAATCTTCTCGCCAATTCCTCTTTCTGTTGTATCAAGCCATCCCTTTCAGTCTGCAAAAAAAATTAATCAACAAACAAATCTTTACTATGAAAATTTTTTTTTTACCTTTACTTCATCATATTTTTCTTCTAAATAATACGCTATATTCCTCGTCTTTTCGTATTCTTGACTCAAATGTAAGTACTTATCGTAATGTTTTTTGAATAGAACAAATCTGAAACGAAAGGAAACGATTGATTTAATAGATTGGATCGCTTCATTGAATTTCCCGGCTCTTCGATTTTATTCGCGACGAGTTATGTAATAAATTCTTTAAGGCGAATGAACGAGGTACAAAACGTTACAATCGAAAACGATCGTTTTTACGTCTTGGCCGGGGTTTTAATTTATTAATTTCACGGTTATACGGTCATGAATTGTGAAAGAATGCTTCGAAAACGACACGTCGGTACTAATTTTATATGCCAAGTCTCTCCAATAATTTATCGATTTGAAAGGATGTTGAAATGTGTATTAAAAAAAAATGTATTTGCTTTTAAAGGTGTTGAGTTTACGACACCAAATGGATTGTATTTCGACGATCCTATTCCCACATTTCGTGTTACAGACGACCGAGTTCGTTTATCTAGACCAAATATTGATTTCCTGTCCCAAAGTCTCTTTAACAAACATTTTAATCGCGAATTTATTGTTGAAAAAATACAACCAGGGAAAAAAAAAGTAAAATTTGTAATAATTTTCATTTTAAATGGGAGAAATCAACACGGAAATTAAATCTCAAATTCCAATCAACAATCTATAACGATAAACATAAATCTTAACTCGACATATATCACTCTGAAAGATTTCCATTTTCCGTAGTTCTCATTAATTTTTTCTTTGCTCCATTTTCGAAATCGTTACTCGGGGAGAAAGGAAAATGTTTTGAGCGATTTTAAACCCCTCTCATAGTAATGTAGTGCAGATCAATGCACGTATCGTCGTAATAAACTAATGGCGAAGCGAAATGTGAGAGTTAATGAGTCATGAATAACGTTGGATCGAGGAGTAATTGGCTTTGGATATAGGAATTTTGTAAAATACCGCAAAAAGACAACACTACGCCATTATAATAGGGGACTACTTATAGCGATTATGAAATAAAATAGAAAAGGAATTAAGAAGAGACATTTTACCGTTGTTAAAAATAACCCGGGTTTAATGCGAATAAGTATAGAGTTTAAAGGTCAACGTACTCGAAATCAATTAATAATAGACTCTTAAAGTTTAAAACAATGAAGTTGTGATTTTAGATAAGGATGAAATTGTTTTGAATAGGTGTTTGTGACTAAAGTTAAAACTTTTTTTTAATATTAACTTTAACAATAGAGAATACTGTTCATCCTGTTGAATGACTAATTTATTATTTATACCTTTTAGTAACAATTTTCTGTTACAACTTTTTATGGATATGATGTTGACCGAGTTTTTTAAATGTAAATATTGAAAATAAATGCTTAGTTGTGAAATTAATGATCATAATAAATAAGGACCAGATCGATTTTAAGCCTCCAAATTGTTATAAAAGCAAATAAATGTTAGAGGAACTCCCTTGAGTTTTTACCCTCACCCAGGGTCGAGACCAATCGAAAACGTACTAAATTATTTTGTTCCTTTTTGAAACTAAAACCTGGTTAGTACTAGCGCTGGTTTACATCTGTATTCGTTGCGAAAATCCCTAGATGGTAGATAACGTTGAAATTCACCAATAAAGATTTCTATATGAGAGATATCTTTTGTGATTGCTTTATTTAAGAATACGAAACGTTCCAATATCCATTAATGAAGGGGAAATAATAAAAACGATATACTTTTAGTTCTAATTTACTCTTCACTTCTTAATTCAACTCTGTATAACAAGTTTTTCTTTGAAAGTCGACCATATTTATTTTCTTGGATTTAATAATAATGTTCACAACTGAAAAATATTAGGTTAGTACAAGCGATTTAACAGTATTAAACTGTGCGAACAAATCTGTTGAACTGTGAGAACATATTTCAACTGGAACAACTCTTATCCGAGTTGGCAACTAGTTACAAACAGTCTACGAACAAAACTATTGAATTTCAGCAAAAAAATTCAAGGATACACGAAAACAAATCGAAATATATGTATATTGAGCTTAATGATGAACATTTGCAACATTACTTTAATATAATATTTTTATTATTGTTACTGATTTGTATTGTTACAAATTGTTATTGTTTCTTATTTTTAGTGATTGTCATAACTACTGATTTTTACTGCTACTTATAAATTGTTCTTAATGTGACAATTGATGAATTGAAACAAATTAAAAGCAGCATAAGCTTTACTATGTATGAGAACAAGGCGATATCTTGCATTACAGATTGATACAAGTTAAGGAGAAATTCAGAAGTTTTAACAATAAGAATATAGTCCCTTTAATCCAATTGATGTATCGTTCAAAATCATGACTGAGCGGATTCAGAAGTTTATCCAAAAGAATTTAGAGATTTCAAATACTTTTTTATATCTTAAAATGTTCAAAATGAAACATAAAATCCTGAACCTCTGTACCAGGTAATTGTAGTAAGGATCAGGTAACAGTGGTGATAAAGTTAGTCAATGCTGGGAGATCCTAAAGATAGACGTAGGTGTGTGACATGTTACTCTTTCAGGACATCAGGAACCGGCGATGCGTGTTCGTGCAATTCTGGTCTTGTAGTACACACTGAATCCGGACATAGCGTATGATCAGAAAATAGACCTTTTTCAATAATATACCTCTTGATCTAGTAGCAATGATACGTTTAACTCTCAGGCAGTTTTCTTGTACAGTTAGATCACAACGGTTTAGAACAAGGTGATGTTTTGTGCTTTTTCTGTTCAGTTCTGCGTTTTCATACTGCCCTGGAAAAGGCAGTATGAGATGAAAAATTCCGCACATCGGGAACAATATTTAACAAGTTAACGCAGATCTGGGCATTCACGGACGGCATACATATTGTAGGGAGAACAGAAAACGAGATGAAGGTTTTTGCAAGGTTTAAAACGGAGGCGGAAAAAATAAAGACCAAGTATGTATATGGTGGCAAAGGCTAACGGTGGAAACATACCAGAATATATGAAAATTTGGTTAGTAAGAAAATAAAGAAGAATCCAAGCCAACAAACGCTTCCATGGGCTTAAAAACAACTTCACATCTAAGAAGGCTGAAGATCAGGAGCGGGATGGACAAGTTTGGAAAGAACTGTTAAGGTAACAAGCTGTAGAGCTAAGCATGATGATTTAGATAAACCTTCTATTGGCTCATTTCATGTACCTATAATGACGTCAACAAAAGTACTTGTGATAAATTGATCTTACATCCTGAATTTGCGCCGTCAAAATTATGAATAATGCTGGCCCACATGGCGAAACAGCTTTACAAACTGGGTACATATGTATTTGTCCCTACACGTGTCTCCGACATTGCTTGAAGGTACGGCTTTGGTCTATGGGGCACTTTTTATTTAGCGTATATATACGATCTTGGTCCTTAATGGGCTAAAGATTACATTGAGATCCAAGTTACATTGCATTCAATGCACCAAGATCTATTGCCTTGTTTGCTTCTTCAGAGTACATTTGGCAACAAAACAGTAAATATGTGGTTTATTATTTCTTTTTTTTCTTTGGTAATATTTTGAATGGTATGCATAAAATATAACAATTCCCTCAACTCACATTGATTACACAAATTGATTTCAACACAAAAATTTCTATGAACATCGCGTAGCCCATCCAATTTTGGGATACTGACGATACACCGGTCATTGAAAAATGTATTTCGGCACACACGGCTTAAAGAAGCAAACCACTACAGAAAGGTGACAGTTTCATGTACCGGAAAAATCTGTAACAGCTCAAATTTAGATCGCAGCTCTTCCAATGCTCTATGCGAGTGCATTATAGGTGTATCAACGTGCGTTTCTAATACCCTGAAACTTTTTAATCATAAATCAGCTCTAAATCTTCTGACCTGTTGTGTGTGCTCACTTGGTTCGGATATAATCAAAACAATAATGCAATACTGTAGCCACGAACACCTCAATCGGTATTTACAACGATAGATTTGCATTAATTATGCAAATATTGGACACTACTGTGGTGCGATATCGAAGCGAAGTGCATTAGCAAAACAAGAAAAGTTACTAGGACTTACTTTCTACTCGATAGTACCTAGGATTTTGTTGTTGTACTGCATATTTTAATTGTTATCAACAATTTTTGAGCAATTTTTTTGCGTTTTTTTTAAAGCACGCTATTTTTGCAAAAATCCATTAAACAAATTCTACGTTCTGTCAAAATTTCTTTGGTGAATGATAAAAATCAAAATCAAAATTGCAGGAGTTTTGAGATATTCTGTTTTGTATAGCTTTAAAAAAATGCGCACACTCTATTTGATAATTGTAAAATAAAGGACTTTTACCGAATTAAGATTTGTTGTTTAGTTTTTTGGTTTACACCCAAACGTTCGAAAATCTGAGACACGGCAGTGGTGTCACATGGAGATCAACGGGATAATAGTGAGCCCTCGTTGTTGAATAACACATACGGAATATCGAAATCTCACCCCACTTTATCCATACAATGTATTTCAAACAAAAGTGTATAATATGTCTCTTATATCTCATAACGTTGTTGACCGAAAACTTTGGAGGATTCTAAAAATCTTGTTTCGTTGTTGGTTTCCCTTACATATTATCTATTAAGATTTCTTGTCACCATCTTGCGTTATTATTCAAACTTAACATTCCTTTAGATTTCCTTCGCTTTGCGCAAAAAAATGTAGTTTCATCAACTTCCAGACTCACTTACAATATCGAGACAGAGTTACTAACCCACCATTATTTTGATTTGACGATAACGTGTAATTAGGAGAGGTTATATATCAATTCACCGACTCTGTTTTAGCTTCTAAATGGCAAGACAAATGCCAGGTTAGCTAACAAGTTGATTTATAACAGAAATAAAAGCCTTTTCAATTATAACATGAATACCAACTCATTCATGATCAAAAAATATACCAAATGCTACAGAAAACTTTTTGGAAGATATTAATAAAGCATATTTATGGTGCTAATTCTTTGCTATGGTCGAATAAAATTACTCTTAAAATAAAAATGATATCGTTAAGCCTGAAATCATCGTCGAGCCAATATTGATATACGGGGCAGCGTGTTGGCAATTATTGAACAGAAACAAGAAAATGATCAGAACAGTTGAAATGGATTTCCTCAGCCAACGCAAATAGTTAATGGACGCATTTAATTTGGATTTGTCACTCTTGACATTTCTTGATTATCAATCCCAAAAGTAGCTGTCGACATTTAATTCTTCCTGAATTAGGAAATTATGCAGAGTTGGAATTATCCGTTGCGTGCTTCGCCAGTATAACTTCTATTATTGAGTAGCCCGTAAAAAGCCATTTATATGAAGGATGCATAAACATAGATATTTCAAACAACTCAAATTTTAGATCATTTTTCGCATGAACCAAAATGTATGTTAGAGCCGAGAATCTCTAAATTCTAATACACAATTTTTCTTCAGAGAGCCAAAACTTTGAGCATCCGAAGGAAGCTAGGAATCATGCAGTCGTGCTTTATTTGGAAATAAAAAAAAAAAAGTTTTAAAACCATCCATACTAAATATTAGTTCGTAAGTTAAACACCATTTTTAATTTTTTAATGCCTATGTTAAAATCAATTTTATAAATTAAGTTTCTCACTTAATTTACATTATTATTCTAATTAGGTTTTAATTTATGTCTAATTAGATTTATTTAGAATTTATAGCTCACTATATTTTACTAGAAGTGCATTAAATAAGCTGTGAGCTACTGTATACATACAAAAGCAACAACCTTTTTTTCCTTAAAAATGTAGTCGAAATTGAGTAGCTTAGGACATATATTTCTAATTGATAACGACTCATTTAAAAGCACTACTAGATTGATAAGTCAAGTTTTTCAACACGTTTCCATTCTATATTTTTGTATTGTAGAAAGCACTTCATGATACTCAAAGGTAAAAAGTTTTAATTGTCGGGAAGTGCTCCACATTCGAATCTACCCCACAATACTCTATTTGCCAACAAAAAAGTTTGTACGGTTTTATGTTTTTCTTCGGGGAATTCTTCACGTCACGTTTTCTTTTTAGCTCTTTTAATCCACATTTTATTAATTGAGGAAACTAACATTATAGATCCTCAGATTAATTCATCATTGTTATTATGTGGAATACATTTATCCATCATCTCACACTTCCTCATAAAATATGTCATCGTCACTCATTCTCGTCTTGACCGTATTCCTTCCTAGTTAATTTTGCGTGCATCCTGTATCATATTCTATATCCGTATATTTATTTAAGCACACGTTACGATATTAATTTGCTAGACATCATCTATGTCATAAATTAAATAATTAATATTCAAATATAAAATTTATGGTGTTATTTCAATTCAAATTTTGCAAATTTTTCTTTATTAAACCAACATTTTTTATATGGCCTGTAATATTACATATTTTATTGACTCAGCACCTGCTACCCCTGTGCTAGATTTCAAAATTGAACCAACCTCGACCTAATACAACATTGAGCCGCAAAAGCCTCCTTTCTAACCCCCCGCAGTTAACGAGGTTTCCCTATATTTATAATGGTAATTGAATTTCTGATGAACTAAGAATTCTAATCCCAAAAAGGATTAGATTGGACTAAAATTGGATTACGCAAGATCCCCAAAGATTTTTTTTAGTTGTTTTAGGTCCCGTTATTTAACGAATTTCACCTTTCACCCTTCACTTTCATTTGAAATGGGAAATTTATTTAAAAAAAGATAATGATAGTAAAAATAAAAATTTTAATTCAACTTCCGGATGAATTCGCTCCAAAAATAAAATTCGTTGGAAACTTCGTCCTTCATAAACAGTGACAAAGAGTTCATGCATCTGCTGCAGATGCTAAAAACAGAGACAGATGCATGATTATATTTGTATGGACCATGGGAATCGAATAAATCGAAAGTTAGGGGTTTCCTCGAATAGGAAATTATAATAATTATAAAAGAATTTCCTGTAGAAATTTAATACTTACTTATAAAAATCATTTTCAGTAACAATATCTCTAATACTATCCTCAGGATCAACCCTATCATAAACGGTAGGTGGTCTTCTCCGGTGGCTCCTAGGTAACAAAACTTCAGGTTTTTCAACAAAATCCCCTTCGGAAGGAGAGGAGGAACAGGCGATCGAAGAATCAAGGAGGTTATCCGAATGACCATGATGAATCTCTTGAGAAATAGGAATATCTTCGGATCCTTGCAGCACCAGTTCATCGCTTTTGCTCTCTTTTAAATCGCTATAAAACTGTTCGCTCGTCCTACTGGAACGGTATGTATCCAGGAAGGACCGGGGAAACGTATCCCCGCGGGACACAATCAGTTCAGTCATTTTTTATTAAAGATTAACAACTTTCTTTTGCAAAACGAAACGTTTCGAGTTCTAAGTTTATGCATTTACACATCACATAATACACAATAAATAACAACGTGACACTTTTCTTTTGGTAGGATTTAAAAGATCCGCACCGCAAAACAGACTACGTAGTCGGCAGACGGTCGACCACTGACTAACCTACTCCAAAAGTTGGGTGTACAAAAGGTGTTCGCAGCACCGCTGAGATTTGCATTTGCGCAGTGAGGTTTATGCTACCGGCGAAAATTACGTCACTTGGTTTGTTTAGATTTAAATGTTATTTTAATCATCTGTATTATTAGAATTATCAACAAGATTATGTTAATTATTTGCATTTCTTTCTTAAAACCATTGCTTTAAGTTCTAATATGAAAATTTTTTAATATATTAACTTATTAGTATTATTAAACTAATTATTACCTAAAGTATTCACAAAAACCTTTCTATTTACAAAAATATAATTCATATCTCAAAAAAGTAACCTAAAAATTTGACATTAATAAAAATGTCAAATTAGAGATTCCTTTTTTACCCAATTCATAATAAAATATAAATTTAAATAAAACTTGTTCTGTTTTTTTTTTTATGAAAATTAAATTACTTAAATAATAAACTAATATAATTAATTATAACTAATAATTATACTAAAAATAAAATTATAACTTAGATAACACAAAACACATCAAATTTTTAAACCATAAAAACCAATACCAACCTAAAATCTTCAAAAATAACTAAAAATGGCTGCTTCAATTTGGAAGTTGTGCACTTCATCAATTAATCCAAAAATATGTTCAAATTTGAATGGGGCGATAAGATCGGGACATCATTTACGTGGAAAACCACCTGGAGTTGCAAGAACTTTAGACCAAAGGCTACAAGGTGACTTATAAATGTGCAATAATTTGAGGTTAAAGAGGTTATGTTTTTTAGAGTTAAATTATAAGGATCCAGAATTATACTTTAAGGTTGATATTGGACTTCCGCCGCCGCAAAAATTAAGAGCCAAAGTTCTTAAAAAGCGTATCGAAGTGGTTAAAGCCAATAAACAAAATGAGAATTTAGAAAAATTATCTCGGAATAAAAAATGTAATTTATTCTTTATGCTATTTTTAATAATTAACGAATCCTGTAATTTTTGATTTAGTGTTGGTGAATCTTGATGAATCAAAAAAGGATTGGTTAGAAACTGATGGTCCTCAACACATAAAGGCGATAGCGAATCATTTTGGAATTTATGACCATTTATTTGGGGATGCTTATTTTATACCAAGAGTTCCAATAAATATACTTTATGAGAATGAAAATGGTCACATCCCTGTGTATTATGGGAATAATGTAAAACCGGTAGAAGCAATTAATAAACCTCTGGTTAATTTTGAATCTGAGAAAGATTCTTTGTGGACTTTAATCTTAACCAATCCAGATGGGCATTTAACAAAAAAAGATTCTGAATATGTTCATTGGTTTATGTGGGTTATTTTTACTGTCATGAATTGTATTTAATTAAACTTTTATTTTAGTGGAAATATTCCTGGTAATAACATAGAAAAAGGAGAACTTGTTTATGATTATTTACAACCATTCCCTCCAAAAGGGACTGGTTATCACCGTTACATTTTCATTTTATACAAACAAGATAAAAAAATCGATTACAAATTATTAAAAAAAGATGGGAAATGTTTAGATTTAGAACAAAGAACATTTTCAACATTAGAATTTTATCGCGAACATCAAGATGCTTTAACACCAGCCGGTTTATCATTTTTCCAATCAGATTGGGATCAAAGTTTACGAAATTTTTTTCATAACACATTAAGTAATTAACGTTAATAATTATGTTAAAACAAATTTAAAATTAATTTTTTTTTTGTAGATATTAAAGAACCCATTTTTGAGTATGATTTTCCAGCGCCATATATTAGGCCACAAGAATGGTTTGCGCTTAGAAAACCGTTTAATCTCTATCTGGATAAGTATAGGGATCAAAAACAAATCAACAAAGAATTTTTGGCGAAAAAATTGAAAGAAGTTCATCCTTTTAAACCTCCAAAACCGCCTTTACCATATCCTAATGCGCAGTATTTTGATGGGTATGTTCCAAGTTGGTTAAAATTAGAAATTAAAAAGGAACGACTTAAATGGGGAAGAATTAATGATATTGAATCAAAATAAATTCGATTGTAATTAGTTTTAAATTATACAAAAATAAAAATGTTTATGAGAAATGGAAAATTTTATCCCATTAGCTTTAAATCAAAAATTATAGTTTGTTGTATTTGATATAATTAATGATTAAGACAATTTTCGTTTTCATATCTCCTTATATTATTAATTTGAAAGAAAAATTTATTATTTTGAACATGATGAAAAGAAAATTAAAAAAAAATACGTTGTGTTTGTCTTTATGGCAAAAATAGGTATAAAAGGCAAGAAATATACACATTGATAAGGCCATATTTATATTATGGGATGTAAATGTATTATAAACAGTTTTTTTTCGTCAGTTTAACTAACCATCTGCTAACCAAGTAACCTAATTTGCTAACTGAGTAACCGTCTGCTAACTAACCAATACAACTTTATTTATATCAGGTTTGTCTTTAGCAACCTCACTGTAACAATCCCAATACGATATATAAAATCTCTTGTTGCAGTTTCGTCTATTTTTCTTCTCTTTGCTTGTAATTCATGATCACATTCATTACTAACAGAACTGTCGCTGTTACCACTTTCGATTATTAATTAAAGTATCCTCTTCTTAATGCAAAAAGCCGTTTTGAAAAATCACTNAAAATAAATTCGATTGTAATTAGTTTTAAATTATACAAAAATAAAAATGTTTATGAGAAATGGAAAATTTTATCCCATTAGCTTTAAATCAAAAATAATAGTTTGTTATATTATTTAACGTCAAAGTATTTGTGTAACCATGTATTTTGAACATGATGAAAAGAAAATTAAAAAAAAAAAATATTGTGTTAGTCTTTATGGCAAAAATAGGTATAAAAGGCAAGCATAAATCTGTTATAAACAGGTTTCCTTTCGGTTTTTTCGTCAGTTTAACTAACCGTCTGCTAACCAAGTAACCATCTGCTAACTGAGTAATCGTCTGCTAATTGAGTAACCGTCTGCTAACTAACCGCGTGTTTACTAACGCGGTCCGTTAACTAACTGCTAGTTAATTCAACGAAACCTCGACCCGAATTTGACAAAAAAGCAACATTCTCATCGTTGAACTTGTCAATTAGTTTGGACTTATGCTGATACTGCTCCGCGGCAATTTCAAATGCGAAAATTCTTACAAATTACAAAATTCTTTGTAATCATTCCTTTCAACTCAGTGTGCAGTTTCGTAACCTTATTGAAATATAAATCGATTGTATCTGATGAGCATCCATTATGGAATATCAGCGAAAAGGAAAGGCGTGCAGAATAGGCTGAACGATTGAAAAACGACACACAGAACAATTCCACAAATCACCAGCTGCATTTAGAAATTAGAGATCTTACCAAATATCAGGCTTTGGCCGGATATTAAAAACCTATTACTTAGTACTCCACATTCACAGGAATTAGTATCTCTTTTAGGTGTTGGACACTGCAGATAATAATCAAGTTCAACCCCAATAGGACTTTTTTCATTGAATACAACTTTATTTATATCAAGTTTGTCTTTAACAACCTCATTGTAACAATCCCAATACGATATATAAAATCTCTTGTTGCAGTTTCGTCTAGTTCTCTTCTCTTCGCTTGTAATGCATCATCATGTTCATTACTAACAGAACTGTCGCTGTTATCACCTTCGATTATTAATTAAAGTACTCCTCTTCTTTTAATATTTTCGAATTTAGCAATATTCGCGGATTAAGTTTTAAAAATTCGTATAAAATCCAGTTCTTGGAATATGAGTATGAAAACTTCCCAAAGTGGTAATAAAAGTGTCCTCTTTCCAATGAACCAACCCGTTTTGAAAAATAATTTTTAGTTTTTGAGAAAACAATATTTGAAGTTTTGATAAAATTTTCGATGTTGCAATTTTCATCGATAATTTTCAAAATTCGCTATAAAATTAATTTCTTGAAATATCCTTGTGGAAATATCACCAATTATTAATTAAAGTATCCTCTTTTTAATGCAAAAAGCCGTTTTGAAAAATCACTTTTAGTTCTTGAGAAATACATTTTTGAAATAATCGACAATTTTTTCCAACTTTGCAATTTTCGCATTCATCCCATTTTTGCATTGCCATTATCCCTTCAGAAATGTACCAGAAATTATATCCATAATGGCAGGATAGGCCGGATATCCGGCATCTCTCTTTTCGCAAAATCCGTTCCATCACTACTAGAGATGTGCGACGTACTTCGAAGATCGGTGTAAAAAATACAGCCAGAGTCAATAAATTTGCTTAATTGTATTGAAAGTAATAATGGCAAGCATATCATAATCAAAGCTTCTCTAGGTTCGAGTTCTACTTAGGTCAATTATAAAGGATTTTTTTATGTTGTGTTGTTTTTAGTAGTGAATAGAGATGGTTGATTTTTTAATGTAGATGGAGCAAATATGCACGAAATAATCATGGATGAGTAGTTCAGAGCAACAGTTTTAAAGAAGAAAATCCATACTTACCTAATTTGTGTGATAAGCACAGCTGTGTGCACATAATGGATAACCATCAAAGTCATCTTTCAATAGAGGCAATCGATTTGTGTAAAAATAATGGTATTATAATTCCACCCCACTTTACGAGGAAAGTACAGCCTTTAAATGTTGGTTTGATGAAACCTTTCCAGACGTTCTACAGTGCAGCCCTAGATTCATGGATGATGAATCATTCAGATCAAATATTTACAAGATACAAATGTTGTGTTGGAACAGCTTATCCGCATGCAATGACGAAGGTAAACATTTCAAACGAATTGTGAAAAACCGGTATTTTCCCTTTTGACAAGTTCTTTTTTAATGACGAAGATTTCATACCAAAGTTGGTGACAGATAGAGAAAACCCCGCAAATAAAGATGTAGAGCTTCATAACAAAATAAGAAACGAAATATCTGATGCTACAATTAAGCCTTTAAATATATCAACATGTTTTGTAACTCCAACTATTTTTAAGGGCTACCCAAACGCTGGACCTAGAAAATCTACGCAAAACGCAAGGGAAAGACCATGATAGCTACAGATACACCTGAAAACATTGAACTTTTGGACCTTAAAAACAGAAATGTACAGAAACGCAAAGTAAAAAGCTAATATTGGTTAGCGAAGATTAGATGAAGGTTAGATAAAGTCGACGAGATCGAACTAAAAGATTCTAGCAGAAGTTGATATCTGAAGAATCATCTGATACTGATTTAACGAAATTCTATAAATAAAAACGTAATAATTTGTTCCTTCCATCTCTCAAAAGAAAAAAAAAGGTATAAAAGAAAAAAAATTGTCATTTACGAGATATTTATTTATGTCAAATACACTGTTATTTATAAATTTTCAACTTATACAATAAGAAAATAGAAATTAAAAAATTCAAATTATTATTTTCGATAAACTCGGTGCAATGTTTTTTTTTCGTCATAAATCTGAGATCACAAGTACAAAGTAATGGGGATGAAAAGGGGGAGGAATTTTTTTTGTTACGAATTCCTTTACGGCAAACAACACACACATTATCATATTCGCGTTAAACAAAACTTTCGTTTTTTGTAAAAAAAAAAAGTTTAAATTTAAAAGTGTTAAAAAGGGGGGAAAGCACAAAAAGAAAAAACGAGATAATTAAAAAATATTGTTATAAATGCGACTAAATATCACAAATGTGTTATATTTATAATATATATAGATTTATATTATATATCATCAAAAACGTTTCGACTCATCTCTTAAAAACCTATCGTTTTCTTCTTATTTTCTTCTCATTTTCTTTATTTTTATATTCGCAAAGCCTTGTCGCGGTCCGTTTCTATTCAATTATTTTAGCGTAGTATACATTTTTTGTAATCGTGGCCAGGGGATTCATTCTTTTCTTGTTAAAGTTTTAATCGCTTTCTTGTTATTTTATTTTTATTAATTTTTATCAATTTTTTTCGATGTATTACATGAGAGTTACTAAACTAGCGAAAAGCGGCTATTACTCAGTTTATGATACAAGTATAGTAACGACAATGTTTTTTTCTTTTCTGTACACGAGAAAAAAAAACGTAAATAAAAAAATTGGAATAAAAAAGTTTTTGATGAGAATGAGTAATTATAACAATACAGTTATTTAACATTATTTGTTTTATAAACGTATACTAATCGTTTTAAATTAGTGTTCTATGAATAAAAAGAAAAAGATTATCATTATGTTGAGCTTGATTTTTACGATTTTTTAATGGAACACTTATATTTTTGTTTATTTAGTATTTAAAATAAATTGCTATGTTTTGTTGTTAAAATTTACTTTTATGCCTTTATGTTTTAAAGCGCTACAATTTTATGATGAATTTATTTCAACTGCATGTTATATGTACAAAATACAAAACATACAATTTTATCACAAAGTAAGACTTTTTTTAAATCAAATTCTACTACTCTACTATTATTAGATATAAATGTCTTAAATAAAAATTGAATGTAGTAGTAAAAATGCATGTTATTACCCATAGAATAATACTATTTTTTTTTATTTATGAAAAAAAAAACAAATTTATTCTTTTATGTAAATGATGGATTAATTTTAGACGATTAATTTCATTAAAAAAATTGTTTAGATAATAATTATTGTTTAAAAACATCATTTGAATAAATATTTTTATATGGAAGTCCTTTAACTTATAAATAAATATTTTATACAAATGTAATGTTCTTCGATAACTATTATGTGGCTTATGTTTAATAAAAAAAATGTTGGGGAACATAATTTTATTTTTTTGAGTTGAGCAATGTTAAATTTTATTTTGTACACGGGTGAGTTAGAAAGATTGAGATAAATTTGGAGATACTCCACATCTCCACACAATTTGTAACTACATCTTTAAAATGTTTCCTAGACTGTGTCTTATACTTGCTTCTTAACCAAGAATCTTTAACAGAATTTTTTAGAGTGTACTTCAGATAGTCAAGCAATTTGATAATCTCGCTTTCATAGGTAGTCCAGCAAGACATAAAAATGCTACACCAATTTTTTATGTGTTAATCGCTGTAAATACATAAAATGTATGTTTACTTTTCATAAAAACTAACTGAAATAAGTAAAGATTGACCGGATAATATGATATAAACTGAAAATTGGAATACTTTACTTAATATTTATTCCAATTTTAGACATTATTTAATAATCTTGATAACTATAATTCCATGTTGTTCTATTCTATGATTTTTTTATATAATATGTTGGATTATCAAGCATCTTGATGATCTCGCTCATCACTGTGTTGTTATTGTAGATATCTTTAACAATGTATATTGATGTTATTGCGTCTCTTATCAGCAAATGTGTATTGATGAATCACATATTGCCAATAATCAATCAACATAATAAATACAGTATCAAGTTTTAGATGATAAGCGATTCCGTTAGAAGTTGTATACAAAGATAAGAAATCCAAAGAAAAGGGAGAATAGTATGAATCAGAAAAGTTAAGCATCGATGAATCTGATAAAATGTAACCATATATTCAGTTTTAGAAAAAAATAAGCATTAATGAAAATGGAAAGTGAAATCTTAAAAATATATTAATGACGAAATTAATCCGAACATGTCTCTAGGTCAACTCTTATTATGGAAAATAGAAAGAGCATTATTAGTTATATTTAAGAAACTATATTTAAGAAATGATTACACCAAGAAGGCAAGACTACAATATTAAGGTAACAGATGAATCAAGTATTTATTGATATTGAACCTAGTTCGGTGTTTCCTCGCATTTTCATGATGATGAACCCATTTTCAAAGTATACGAAAGTAGTACACGAAGTTTACGAACAATTTTATGGCCAAGTTTGCACAATAACCGTGGAGTATGAGGAGTTTAGAACATGAAGCGTTGGTGTTATTGGTTTCTAAAGGGCTATATTGGGACTACGCCATGTTAAAAGATACAACCCTAAACTGTTATAAAGTTAAAGGTGGAAATGTCAAGGATGTGACTAAAACAGATGATCGTTCCAGTTTATTTTAAACTATTTCCTGCGTAATAAAGCTTGATATATTTTAAATTGCGAAGTTGTCCGAGATGACGATAAATTTCAACACATCTGCCGACTATGCTCTATCAACTTATTGGAGTAGTTAAAGTTATTTTATTTTGGAATAAATTTATTCTGAACTTATAGGAAGCTGTGAAATATTAGAGTGAATTAGAGTGAAATGATTGTAACGACAAGTTTGAACAAATCGCTTCTATCTCCCTGATATGCCTGATTGAATTAGTTCTAAATTAGAACTGTGATAACACAGTACCAGTTATAACACTAAGGCCCACTTTTACCATCCTCCTGATAAACTATCTAGAGGATAGTTGCCATGGTTACGGCGGTTTTAAGCGCTCTCATTGGCTAAGAACTGGATTTATCTATCGGATAAATTTATCAGGAGGTGGTAAAAGTGGGCATAAAAGAATTAAATTAAACAAGAAAGCGCAAATATAATTGTGCGAACCTAGGTTCTGATTAGCTAAATGAGACAGTAGAGCCATTTTATAGTTTATGCCACGTTATTAATGAGGTGGGCCTAAAATAAGTACATGAGATAATCTTCCAATTCCAAGTCTTAGCTTAATAAGTCCAATTAGTTACAATAATTTTGGTTCAAACTCTAATTATAGGATGTAAAATGATATGTCACAAAAACTTCAGTATCAGCAAAAAGGGTGCAGAAGGCAAAGATATTTTCTCAAAATTTGTATAAAACTGTTTTCGAATAATATCAATATTATAACCAATACCTTTTATCTTTTTATCTTCATGGCCAACTTAAATTAAGCCTTTAGTTGTAAATATAGAATTGACACAGAACTATTAGGGTTGGTTTATTCACCAAGATTAAGTGCTTGCGATAAAATGAAGACTTAAACTTGCAATTGAATTATACTGATCAGAGAGCAGAAACTTATTCTTTATGTGATATATTAAACATAAAAATCTAGTCTAATAGAAATCCGTACAGTCTTCAATTTATTACTCACGTCTATAAGATTAATAACTGAAAGTGTCGGCAAAATGAGTTTATATGAAGATATTTTCCATTGATCAATGTGATTCTATATTGATTGCTGATGATTTAAACATCCTTTGTCACAGATCACTTAAGATGTTGTCAGGTTGACAGGTTGAATTAGATTCAATGCCAGAAAGACGATTTAGTTTGCTATTAGTATACAACTTTAAGAAAATGATATGTAGGATTAGTATGCCATCATCTAGATATATCAATAATCGTGAATTATAAACCTTTTATGTTTAGATCAACCAAATAAGAACCTGTATCATAATTGTATTTGTTAGCGCTTAAACTGTAGACAAGTTTCAATGATTTAGGTTAGGTAAGGGAAGTTTTCCTAATAATATTAAAAATACTTTTCGTCAACAGTTTTTTAGCAAAAACTTCTTTGTGATTATTTTGATGATCACACACATATTTTCCGTTATGGAGATGTTGATCCTCATAGTTTAACGAATAATAGAGCCTAGGCGGAGATTTGACACTCATCCTGGGGATATATACATATTTCAAGGTGAATAAACTAAATAAGCAATGTATCCAAACTCACAACGAAAGCACGATATTAATAAATAATTTGGTAGGGAATAAGTAAAAAATGTGAAGAGAAAAAAAGTAGAATCAATGTTATTATGAGTATAAATATAAATATGAATCTTCAAAAATTCAATTAAGATATCTGCTCAAAAATGAGGTTGTCTTTGCATTAGCATACTTATATCTGAGATATAAAATTGATTCAGGTAGTGGTGAAATTGTGACAATGAGAAAATATGTTAAAAATGAAACATGATCAAATTTAATAATAATGTTAAACCAAGCCATGAGCAAAGTCTTGAAAGACCTGGTATGAAGGGTTTTAAGTTTGGATGCAACGCAAATTGCAATAAATCTTTTACAGCTTGTGTTGTAAACCTAACCAACAATTTAGATCATACACTTTTGATGGTTTTATTCTAAATCATTCTGAGGTTGAAAATAGAATGCGTGATTATTATTAAGTATATTTTTGTGAATGTAGAAGCATTATTATTTATTTTTGTCATTTAACAAAAGTCATCTTGTTTCGTAGTAATTAAAATGCAAGTATTTTTCTTTTTAGATGGGTGTAGCATTTTTATTTTTTTTTCCACCATATAAGATAGTAATGTATGTAGGATATGATAAGAGCAAAGAGAAAATATAAGAAACACCTTTTTCTAACTAAACTATTTCAAGTTCTTAACTGTATTCAGGAGTATGTATTAAACCAATTACCTGCAACAATCAACTTATATTAAACTGTTTTTGATGTCCAACACATTTCAATCAATTAACACAATTCACTTAATTAGGACATGAAACATTTCACAGTGTTTAACAGAAATCAACAAAGTGGGAATGTGTTAATTTTGGATTTGAGAACCAGAATTTTAAAGTAATATAGATACTTTTAATTACTTGTGTAGAAGCTATTCAAGAAATAGAGAAATTAAATGACTTATATAGCATCTTGATATACCAATAAAAAATAGTATAGTTTAGTTATTTAGTATCCCCAATTCAAATCCTTTCCAACTCACTCTGTATATTTTTATAAAACTTATCAACAAATATGAAATATTTAGTATCATTTAAATTTATGAAATAAAACAATTTTTTTTATTAAACATAATTACACCTGGAACAAAAAAGTTAAAATATATATATCAGTGCAGCATTATCAAGACAAAAATGCATCAATATGAATAGTAATAGGAATCACTACGTAAAAAATCGTCTTCTCATAGAATATAATTTAACTTAAAATAAAATAATAAATATTACCTTATATAAAAAAAACTTATTATTATTACACTGTGCTCTTGCTATACGACACCTACAATATTTGCATTGTCTCAATTTTTTTTATTTTACTTTAAAAATCGACCTTTACTCCATTACTACCACAGATATTTTTTTTCATGTACAATTTAATTTCTTATATTTATTTGTCATGATTCATGATGTGGTTATAAACGGATTATTAACAAACAAAAAAGAATTCGAAAAAGTCACGAGGATTTCTTGTCGTTTTATACACAAATCTTACAGTTCCTTAACAACTTCGCCTTTTACAAATTTGTCTTAGATCTGGTCGATTGAGTAGTTTATATTGATAATACGTGTTTCGCGACGAGTGTAAAAAGTTACAAAAAATTGTTGTTCATTTCTTTTTCATTCTCTCAATCTCTCTCTTTTTTTTTGGTTATTTTTATTGGAGAGTTAACGTGTTCTTACAAAATAATTTACGTAAACTGTGTGTATAAATTACCTTCGATTCAGTTCTGATTTAATAGCTAAAATAAAACATTTTTTAAATCTAATTATTTATAGTTAAAAATTTTTTTACTTACCATCTAAGATATCCTGTTTCATTTTGGCAATCTCTTTTCTGACCTCTTTTATAATTTCGTTTTTAAGACTTTCGAGTTCGTTAGGAGCGAGTGATAAACCGCTAACTTCTGATAGGCCATTAACTTTCAGTATTGTTTCTTCGGAAGCCGACCCAAACCGTTTTCTGATACTTTTCGGTGATTCTGATGAGAATTTTGAAGAATTACTTGGCAGTGTATTCGTTTTTTCCCAAGAAGCTTTCTTATCATCCTCATCGACGTGATCAGTTTTCTTTTCAACCTAAATAAATAAATTAAAAAATCATTTTTTATTATCACAACTAACTCAAAAAAGAAAACGAATTAAATTAATAAAAAAATTTATTTTCTCTTTAAAAAAAAATATAAATAAAAAATATAGTTTAAACTTTTCCAGTGTTAGGTGTAAATGTAGTAACAAAAGTATAAACTGAAATTCTAGCTGGTAAACATTTCCCCAAACACTCTAATAGCATTGGTTCTTTTACAACCGTTTGCCTGTAATCATTAAAAGATATTTTTCCATCTCTATCGATATCCATTTTCTTAGTCAATATTTCAATCATATCTTTAACGGCTTCTTCAGCGTCATCATCACTTCCTGAACTGATTAAGGATGTTCTCAACAATTGAAACATCGAATCCCTACCAATCATCCCATCGCCGAGAAGATCGTAAACATGAAAACAATGTTGAATTTTTTCTTCAAAAGTTCCTCTTAAGAACAAAGATAAAGCGGCTGCCCAAGTTTCCATTGTAACCGTTGCAGGATGAGGATTAAAAATTCCTTTTTCTAAAGCCGTAAATATTCTATCCATTAACGTGTCTTCCGTCATATCAAATCCTGCATGAAGAACATCCCTAAATTGAGCTTTGGTTATCCCCAATTTATCATGGCTTTCTTTTTGTAGCTTATAATAAATCAATAAAATAGATTCGACCTCCGTGTAGGTGAAGTGGAGTTTTTTTGATAATTTCAGAATTAAATCAGAATGTTTCTTTTTAAATCTCGTTTCCTCCATGGGATCGAGGGATGAATCGAGTATAACTCCGAAAGACATGGTTATTAACCTTTGTATATAATAAAAAAATACGGAAGAATTAGAAAGATGTTTGTGATAAACTGTCAAGATGACATTAAATATTTATTTAAAAAAATGAATAAATTCCGAGTTATTATAAATTAGGCAGAAGAAGAGGTTAGAGCAAAAACAATGTTTATTCTCTATCAACCAAAATTAGCTCATTACTACTGAAGTAGAGATGACATTATTGATCTGTAAAGGTAAAGCATCCTGTAATGTAACAATTTGAAACTACTATCAAAGGAAATCGATACACTAATTAAGAGATGCTGTCTCTCTAATTATTACCTTGTGAGGGGATGCTTTGAATTGTGTACTAACTACGGATTATTAGTATTATGTTGGGAAATGAGATAAGAGTAAGTCACAAAACAATAAGGCAATATTAATACTGTTTTTCTACAGCCCTTTGTCGTTTGTTAGCGAAATGGAAACCTTAACTGTTCTCGTGAATGCTTTATGATAAATCAAGAACACATTTTGCGAGACGTATCGTTAATTACGAATTGAGGGCGAAGTAGTAAAAATGCCACCAACGATTTAAAAAGCGGACCCTCAACTGTTGTTTATTAATATTGAAACGTCCCAAATTTGTCCCAAGGCAAATTGGGACAAGTAACATCATAACATCTAAAGTACTGTGCAAAAGTGTAGGTTATTCATTTTTATCAAAAAAACTAGACTACCAACGTTCAAACAAATTTTATAATCTCAAATGTAATATATGCGCACACTAAGCTGCATAAGAGATACTGCTATGGGTATAGTATCTCTATAAGTGGTATTATAACAAATGGCATCAATAAATACTACCCGCTGCGATCTCGTGATTACCCTTAAACACATCGCAAAGACGAGTGTGTGCCGCGAAACTTGAATGAAATAGTGGGCCACATTGGAGCAGCTCTAAATCGTGATCAGAAAGTAACTGACCATAGCAGATTGTGTTGGTATTACGCACAATTTTTACAATCACCAAAAGCTTCTGCAGTTAGTTTTTGAATGCAGTTCTATTAAATTCTGTTAAATGCATCTTTGAAAAAATTGCTGCAATTTAGAATACTTAAAGACTTAATAGATAGAAACCCTGATGGCACGGATTCAAAAACTCATTGGAACATTTAATATCTCCAAGCAGGATGAATTTATCGCAGAGAAATCTGAAAGGAAAAGTTTAAATCAGCTGGGCGACAGAAAAAAAATCTTGCTCAAACGACTGTGTACCACATGTTGGCTTATCCAGTACCATATGCAATCTCATGCAATGTTTCTAATTTTGCAATCAATGCTATTTTGGAATAACAACTCAGTGAAGTTTTGTTCTTCCCTAAAAAACTGAAGAATGCAGAAAACAAGTACAAAGCCTACGATAGATAATTATTTGTTAACATTAGTTAATAATAACTTTAGTTAGCTTTTTAGTTATTTTGATGAACTGGGTTGATCACAATCTGAAAGTGGCAAATTCGTTTGAATCAGATTTAGTAGATTCATCTAGAAAGTATGAATTTCTAGTGTATCTCTTGTTAATACCTTACATTTTTTTTAAATACCACTACATTTAGGTAAACACCTCTAAATTTTCTTCAAAAAATATCATCAGCACACGAGACAAACAATCACCAAGTGATAATTTTATTCCTCAAACGATTCGAACGCATCTACACTAAACTGATAGATACTCTACATATCTAGATAGATATTCATGTTGGTCTGAAGTGACCCCAGTAGCAAACAGAAATAGTTTCTAACGGTCTTATGAAGAAGCATCAACGCAAATTAATAGACACCATTAGATATCACGCCAGTGAATAATGAGTTAACGCCAAAGTTAGTTGGACTAGTCCTTGGATAGAAAAGAGCATTAGGCCAACTATCGAGATTCACATGTTTCACGAATTTACAAACATAATACATATTTTGTATAAATAGTGTAAAACCTAATTGATATTGTAGTCCATTTTTTAACCAGTTTTTTAATTTTAGAGGTAACAAAAGTTTTTGTAAGGGTTGCACTTTTACTGGTTAGTAAAAAATCTAAGAGAGATAATTAATAAATTTAATAATAACTTAATAGAGAGGAAAAGCCAAAAGCCATACAAAACCCAAAATCTGGGACTCCTATGTATGGTATTTCGGGATAAGGGTCAGATAGGGATTTATATATTGGTACCTGTGAGCAATATATCTGATCATTCAGACATTCTACATCGTTTGAATTGAATCTGAATCTATCAATTTCATAGCTTTCGAGTAGACTTTATAGAGTTTATGGCTTCTATTTTGTTGATGAAGCAGACTGACGTTTTTCTCCTTATAGAAATCATGATTGTATGTTGAAATGTGTTTACTCAAATTGGATTCTTTTCTTTGGTTGTGTTCCTTCATCCTGATTCTCAGTGAACGACCGATTGCACCTATATAATATGCACCACAGGTGTCGTCACAATCTAATTTATATTCCCCGTTGTTATCTAGTAGATCTATTTTATCTTTGGTGTTAAATAGCATTCGTTGTAGGGTATTGTTATTTTTATAGGATAAGGTGATACCATGTTTTTTACAGGAATTTCCAATATTATAGACCATTTTTCCTGGGTACAGGATGGCTCTGTATGTTTAACTTTCTGAATTTATAGGTTGGAAGGCTGTAGAATTTTTGGTGCTTTGTCTATTTAAGAATTTGTGGAAAAAGGAGTTTATTTGTTTTAGTTGAAAGCCATAAATGATGTAGAATGTCTGAATGATCAGGTACCAATATATAAATCCCTATCTGACCCTTCCAAATCCCAAAATACCGAGGGCTCCTATGGTTAGCCATACATAGGAGTCGCAGATTTTGGGTTTTGTATGGCTTTTGGCTTTTCCTCCCTTCCCCCCTTCCGTTGTTCAAAAATTTTATTTTCACCTTATACTTTACTCTGTAAGTATCATTTTATTTAGATTTAATTTACCATAATTCTGTAATCTAACATGTTCAAATTATCATAAATTCTATTTTTGTAGTTATTCTGAAGATGCCTGCCAGGACAGGCGAAACATGTAAATAAAGAGACGTATTATATTTAATACAAGATTTTTTACTAACCAGTAAAAGTGCAACCCTTACAAAAACTTTTGTTACATCTAAAACCTAATTGTGAATAAGTATGCACCAAGAATTACCTAGGCTTGTCCTTACTGTCGAAATTACGTATCCAAAATTTTCTTTTTTGTAACGATGCCGTGACCATTGTAAACTAATGCGTTTGAGGAGGAATTAACGTATGAGGTGACCTTTAGGCAAGCCGCCCGGCATCGACCCATAAAACAGCGTAGTGTCTACCGCAATTCCATTTAAAACGAATATGCTGCGGTAAATACCTTTGACTTATCGATTTCGTAACGTATTCCGCGTACAGTTTGGTTCGTGGTACCATGAAATATCCTCATGGCTAGACTTTCATGTTCACCCTTACACTACCACATACCAAATTCATCTAAAATATAACGTCATTTGATGAATGTGAGCCAGCTTCGAGGACTCTTGAGAGGTACAGCGGATTTTCGCTGATAACATGCATCTTGTTCAATTGACGGAGATCCTCGATTCGGCGATTTAACTAACATCAAATCGGAAAAGTAGTTTGTTTGATTTTCATAGTACTATGATGCTAATAGCTAATCACTAATAATAGCTCTATCTTCTAATTTTAATGGTACCAATCTGTATAAACGCCTTAAACCAGATATGCTTAAGTAGGCAAGTGTATGAAGAAGAAAAGCAAAAACCATTTTTCACCAGCTTATTATATATGGTCCTGGTGATATAGAGTAATCTTCGAGATGATTCTGAACATAGATGCAAGTAAATTCAAGCAATTTCATACACCAAGATATAATTGAAACCTGAAAGAAATTATTGCATAACTAGTAACTACTGGCAGGCGTCAAGTCAGTCGAGTAGTTTAACAGATAATTATGGTCAGAAGTTCTCGTGTAAGACGATTATATGGCGGTACAGTAACTTCAGAGGTATTGTGTAATCGAGCACCAGTACCAAAATGTCTATAACTATTCTAAAAGACCAGAAAAGGGATACTGAATATAATTATAGAATGGAAGCATAACTTTGGAGGTGACTAGTTGCTATAACACACTATAAAATAAAATTATGCGAGGTTTAATGTGACTCTTCAACCATTGAAAACGTCCACATAAAGAGATTTACTGAAAATATTGGTGCAAGTTACCGCAGATTAATCTAGATTTATCGATTTGCTATTGTACTTCGATATTTCCATGGTTAATTGTATTGCTTTTTGATCAACGACATTTTGGCATAAAGCTAACATTAGAAAAAAACGTTGTGAATTGTAAATAGAACGTAAAGAAATGTTACTGAATGTGTGGGTAGCGCGTTGATGTAATTACAAAACCTCAGAGAAACGGAAAAATTTTCAGGCAACAATACAATAGACAAAATGGCCATAAATGAGGACGGTTCTCCGAAATGAATTCAGGAATTTATTGCGTTCACAATCCGACGGAATGGTTGAACGCATGAATGAGGACAAATGAAAACTATTAAGTAAGTTTATCGCCGACCATCAAGAGATTAATACCACAGGTACCTAACTCGTCACAAAAGACTCAGATTGTAAGTGATTATATAGCTGAGGTGATCCATATCGAATTTCACAAACAATAAATAATTTAATATATTAAATGAAGAAGACAATGTTGGAATCACAAAACTTTGTAAGAATATCCAGCTGAGCTATATAAAACATGACAGATTAAAAAACTATTATATTAACTATCAGCGAAATATAACATTTTTTCAATCGAATCAATCATCTGATATTCCACCTCCGCCATCTAGTGTCATGTTTACCTCCATTTTTAATATTAAACATTTTTTAACTATTGATTGTAAAACTAAAAAAAAACTTACAGCAGCTCTTCTTCTCGCTAAAGTTTTAGCCATTTCATCCATCATCGAAGCCATACTTCCACCACCACCTCTCCCCAAAGTTCCATAATTACTACTACCCCCACTACTCGTAGAAGATCCACTATTTTCAGCGGGAGGCGGCGGTGTGTTCTTACTCTTTTTCAATCGGGCACTTTGTAATTGAGCAGCCAAAGAATTAACTTCTCCACCATCACTACTTTGCGATCGCGACATGTTCATCGGTGGAGGTGGCGGCGGGGGTGGTCCTGTAACTTGTGGAGGCATTGGTGCGGGAGTCGGAGCAGCCGGGGGAGCTTGAGGGATTGCCATTGATATCATCGGAAGCGGTGGCGGAACTGGTGCGGGAGGCGCACTGGTCGTTCTTTGATGCCCGCTAACGGGAGCTGAAGGTGGAGAAACCGGACTTGGAACAACAGCGGGTTGTGTAGTGGGCATCGTTGGAGCAACCGGAACATTATTAGTCATGGGTGAAGTTTGTTGTGGGGACATCAAAGATGACGATATTCGCCTATCTTGAATCATAGCAACATCTTCGCGAGTCATGGTACGATAACCCATATCTTCATCATATTGGGTCGGCTGGGGTAATTGAGGAGGAAGTTGAGGTTGTTGAATAATTTGGGGTTGTTGAGATTGATGATGTTGCGGTTGTTGCGATTGATGATGTTGAGGTTGTTGGGATTGATGATGTTGAGGTTGATGTTGGTGGAGTTGTTGAGGCGGTTGTTGAGATTGATGAAGTTGCTGTTGCGATTGATGAATTTGTTGTTGCGATTGATGAAGTTGTTGTTGCGATTGATGAAGTTGTTGTTGCGATTGATGAATTTGTTGTTGGGGTTGATGGTGTGTTGGTTGTTGTTGTTGAATTGGTTGTTGTTGTTGTTGCTGAATTGGTGCTGCGGCGTATAATGATTGAGATGCTGGGCGAACTATATTACTAAGTACCTTGAAAAAGAAATTTGAATTAATTTCTAATTAACATTCTACCCTTGACCTTTAAATCGACTGTGCTACAAGACACCCCCATGAAAATCAATATAAACTTACTTCTAGTGAATGGAACATGGCCCTGGCGAACATGTCCGCGTCTTCTTTAGAGCTAAAATTTAAACCGTAAACGTGTTTGTTGTCCCTCCATTGATGGAACGTGGCCGTAGCCTGATTGTATTTCAGTCCTTTTAGTATGGCACAGTTGATAACCACCTTTAATTTTAATATAGATTAAAATTGATTCGGATAAAAATTTCTTTAACTATTTACCTCTTGGTCTTGTAACTTTCTGCCCACCACTCTGAACGTCTGATGCACTGTATGCTGATATATTTGCACCTTTGACACTCCAGATGATGACCCCGACGGTATCCATTTCTTCGTGACATCGTCGTAGACCATGACACTGGCCCTAGCGCTCGCGATCGATTGTTCGCTGGAAATAACATCCATAAGAATACGTTTCAAAGTCTGCTTTTGATAAATAAAGAATATATATAAACATGAAACATTGAGAGTTGAAAAGAAAATAATCAAAGAACTAAAATAATGCATTCATGCATGTGCAAAAATAATCGAAGGTTAAAGTCCAAAAATAATTGTACGTTCAAATAGAGCGAGGTTCTTTTACAAACGTGCTAAAATTGTTCTCGCGGAGTTGAGACTCTTCCTTCGAGGAGGTTCGTTGAACCTTCAGCTTTAACCAAATCATACTGAAAGAGCGGATAAGAAGCTGTCAGTTATTCGATCGTGGGTGTTGAATTATCGTTTGTGGGCGATATAATCTCTAAGTCGATAGGTAAAATATTGCCGTTGCAAATCTTACAATTAGGTGTTTAAGTACACACCGTATAATCATAGGCGACAACCGGAAACGATAAAATAAGTTTTCCTTGTGACTTTGCGGATGTGGTTTTTGGTGTTTTTTTTTTTAATCGAAAATGATACCGAAACACACCGACCCAGTTAAAAAGAAAACAATACAGCAAAAAGAGCATTCAAAACTACAACGTGTAACCTAATTTTTAGAAGCTATACAAAAATTTTCGGTTATGAAAACAAAAAGTTAACGCGGTAAATTGAAATTAATTGAATCGCACGACAAACTCGACAAACGCAGCCCGCTCATTGAATTAATGTTTGGCTCGGTGCGGCGCCGACAAAGCGAATACGTCGAGTCGCCAAATAGCTAACAATTAAGGTCCCCCAAATTAAGCGTACCTCTATTTAAGGAAGCGACAATGTCCGCAATTTCCGCGATGCCGGCTTCATTTCGTTACCCTCCCACCGACATTGAATTCTTTAAGATTTACCGACAATTTCACTTTAAAAATGTTCTGAATAAAATTCCAAGTAATGAGTTGATATTTTTACAAATAATAACGTTTTTAGTTATTAGTTATTGAGTTACTGCTACGAAAATCAATCTAAAGTAGCTAGTAATATTTGTAGATTATGAGCTTTTTATTACAGCCAAACGTTTAGTTAAAAACGTTTCGGGCTAAACTCGAAACTTTCTGGTTCTAAGTCTAGTGTTAGTTCTAGTGTTAGTACTACAGGTGACCCTAGATACCCTTTTTGCTTGGTATAATCGAGAGAATCTTTCGATAAACCCACAAAAGACAATCGTTGTGCCGTTCACCAGGAGACGAAAGTTGGACTAATCCGCCTAACTATCCAAGGTGAAGAAATTCCTTTCTCAAAGGAAGTCAAATATCTAGGGGTAATCCTAGACAAAACCCTCTCATGGAATGGACATTTGTAGGGAGTTTTACACAAAGCTATTATCCTCAGGTGGATTTGTCGTAGTCTGTGAAAAAAATTGGGGTCTTATCCATGAAAGACTGTATTGGCTCTATGTCACTGTGGTTAGACCTATCATCACATACAGAGCAGCAGCCTGGAATAGGAAAGTCCGACAGACTTCAGTTATCAGTAAACTTTCACGAGTAGCTGGATTGGCAATCTCTAGTGCGATAAACACAACGCCAATTGTAGCAATGGATGTTCTGCTTGGCCTACTTCCATTTCATTTGCATATAGAGAAAGTAACTAGAACTACCATTTACAGATTTAAGCAATATGCTCAAAACTATTCCGACATGTCCTACCAATGGCCTGCGAAAAACATTATAAGCACTGATTTGGCGGGATCACTATCAGTCTTCATGATCATTAATGCTCGATACCAGATTGTACTAGAGGAGAGTGGGGGAATCACGCACGTGGGGTAATCGCGGACACGTTTATTTTGCTTATTATGATACCAAATACAAATTAGAAAAAGCTATTCTGTCCCAAAAAGTACTACACATGACTCTCTCAAGAACGAAGTTATAAAGCAACCAAAAACTGGAAGAAAGGCTATATTATCAGAAGACCAAGAAAGAGAATTAGAAGAACATATCATAAAATGCAGTAAGCTATTTTATAGTTTAACCATAGAAATGGTGCGGAAAATAGTTTTCGAATTTGCCGAAGTAAATAATTTGACATACAATTTTGTCAAAACATCCCAAATGGCAGGAAAAGATTGGTTTTACGGATTTAAAAAATGGAATCCTAATATTTCGCTACGTAAATCTGAGTCCACTTCTATCAATAGAATTACAGCTTTTAATGAAACAGAAGTGAAGATGTTCTTCAACAACTTGGAAGCTTTGCAAACAAAACATCACTTTGATGTTAATTGTATTTATAATATTGATGAGACGGGCATATCTAATGTCCAAAGAAATTCAAGAATTTTAGCACCAAAAGGCCAGAAACAAGTCGGCATGGCAACAAGTGACGAAAGAGGCACAACAGGTTGTTTGCGCATTTAGTGCTTCAGGAAAATATATTCCACCGTTTTTTATTTTTAAGAGGAAGCGTATGAATGCCCAGTTGTTGCGTGGAGGCAATGCTGATATAATAGCAGCCGTTAGCGATTCACGTTGGATCAACGAGAACCTATTCGTAGATTGGTCACACTACTTCCATCTCCTATGCTCAGCCAACAGTTGCAGAGCCAATTCTACTTATTCTGGACAATCATGAAAATCATGTTAGTCTTGCTTGCTATCTGCTTTGTCGCCAAAGTGGAATAATATTGTTGTCCCTTCCACCTGGTATTTGGCCAATAGATACAACCAAATTTGATGAACATTTCGTAAATGCGACATCACTACCTGAAAATCCTATTGGAAATTTGCAAAATGGTGTAACAGTGATATCGGATGCGCAGATAGCATCAACATCAAATGTGCTGCAAAGACCAGTAATCCCTGTAGCTGTGTTGGATAACTCAATCCCACTTGAAGATATTGTTAATATTCCCAAACTACCACAACCGAAAAGTAACAACCTCGCAGAAGAAACACTCAGCTATAATAACCAGTAGTCCTATGAAAGATATTTTAGAAAAAAAAGCGATATAAAGAAAAATAAGGAGCACAGCATTTGCAGATGATAAGATTAAGACAAAGGTTCAGGGGAAGGATATACCACGCAAGAAAAAAAGGCCAATGAAGCAGATGCGAAGGAGGAAGAGTATTATTGCCTAATGTGTGATGACAAGTATGAAGATTCTCCAAGTGAAGACTGGATAAAATGCCGCAAATGTAATTTATGGGCCCACGAAAACTGTATGAGTGGTGAAGGTACATCCAGAGGATTTATGTGATGATTAGACTATGTTCGTGATTACCTCATACACCAGCCGTAATTACCCCACAGCACATGGGGTACCAAGGACACCAAGGTTTTGTTTTTGTATTAATATTTGATTTATATGGGGTCGGGGCAGAAGTATAGCAGACACTTCGGATTAAGCAAGTTTACAGCCTAGGTACGTACTGTACTGTATTCCAGGCGGAAGTGTTTGCTATTCACATGGGTGCTAAAAAGCTTCTTGAGAGAGGGGTGAAGAACATGATAGTAGGATTTTTTTCAGACAGTCAAGTAGCTCTCCAGGCGCTGCAGGCCGTGAAAGCGGTGTCGGCTCTGGTTAATGACTGTAAAAGAACTTTAAACACACTGAGTTGTGATAACAGAGTTTCTCTGATCTGGGTCCCAGATCATTCTGGGGTTGCTGCCAATGAAGCGGCAGATAAACTAGCACGAGAGGGCAGCGCCAAAGCGTTTGTGGGGCCAGAGCCAGCAGTTGGTGTATCATTTGCGTTGGCCAAACATAGGATTAGACTGTGGGTTGAAGAGAGAGTTCGCCTAGTCTCTCTAGTGGACCAGGTCCGGAATATTTTAAGACTTGCTGGTAGCAGCATTAAAGTTCTACTGGGAGTCTATACTGGGTACTGCCGATTAAAAACGGACCTCAATTTGTTGGCCCTAGCCGAAGATGTTGATTGCCGACTATATGCGGAGGACGAGGAGACGGTTGAGCATGTTTTATGCCACTGCCCTACTGTTAATCGTATCAGATTCTCGATTTTTGGGTCGCAGTTTATCTTCCCAAAGGATCTAAATGACTTTTCACAGAGCAAGGTGAGGATCCCCAAGGATCTAATGCTGAATAACAGTTAAAAGTAGAACTAACAGTAGACTTACAAACAGAAAGTCCCGAAACATTCTGTTTCTAGGTCTAGTATTAGTTCTAGTTTTACTAAAACTACAACTAACACTAGCATAAAAACAAACACTAGACCTAGAAGTAGAAACATTCGGGTTTAGTCGTCTTAAGAGACGCCCGGCTAAACCCGAATATAAACGTTGAATAACAATTAAGTCTAGTGTTAGCTCTAGTTTTAGTTGTTATTTAGCGCTAGATTCTTGTATAAGTAATCCGTTATATGGAGGCTTTAGTGCAACAATAACAGTAGCACAACATAGCACTGAATAACAATTAAAACTAGAACTACCGTCTTAGGTTTTATTATAATTTAACATTAAATGAACATATCGTTCCCATTGACAAAACTATTTAATGTTTACAAGGTCGACGACAAAATAGTTTAGAACAACCTTCATTTGCATGTAACTGCCCTGACTCACACCAAATAAAGACAATTGAGTTATTCGAGCTCTCGGTTTGTTATGGTGCGTTTATTCCGATTGCGTTACCCATTTCCGGTCTGCTCAGTACTAAAAAGCACACCATTCATTATCATATCGCGTTTCTACGAAAACCGGCGTGGCGTAAAGAAGTAAAAAGAAGAGGAGACGGAAATAATTCTACGAGAGGCTTGTCTCGTTGGATAATGGGGTAATCCGTGTCGAAGACGACCCGAGGCAGAACTGGGAACCGAGAACGAAAACGAAACCAGTGTTTGGAAACTTGACGAGAGTCGGCGAAGCTTGTTAAAGCTTATCGGGATTAAGGACAAGAGTCGTAGAGCTTTCCTGAAGCCATTATTGTAGGTAATGGCGAGAACAAAGAATCTTTTGCTTAATGGATGATAAAAAAATGTATTAAAAAAAATAAACGATATAAATAAAAAT